ATTCTAATCACATTTCATATATCTGAAATGTTCCCATAATTGCAATAGTTGTTATAACGTCATATAATCATCTAAATTACTTTAATAAAACAATTTAATGACATAGGCAAAAGGCAAAAAAAAGCCTAGCAAATTTTTCTATGACACAAGCTTCCACTCAAGATGCTACAGAGCATCCACAAAAAAGGAGAGCAGCAGTAAGCATCAAGCCCAAGCATTCTCACGTGGTAACTTTCATTAGTGTTGCTCTAGGTTAGCATCAGAGAAGAAAGTTGGATTTCAGGGGAAGAACAGTGAAATTTTTTGCAAAGCAAGTAATTATTGCATAGCTTAATGAGAGTGGGCGTATGCTAGAATTTATTCCCCTTCAGTTTTAGCTGCTCTACACAAACAATTTGTATTCCATGGCTCATGCAGCAAGTCCTTGGCTAGCTGGGAACGCTGCTCTGCAGAGCAGGCAAAGGGAAGTGGGACTGTGATAAGGCTTCCAGATTTGTCCTCTGAAAATTCTAAGCAGAGTTAGCATTTCAGGCTGAATAGGAACAGGGCACGGGCAGCTCCGGCAGAACTTCACCGAGGTAGAGCTGCAGACGATTGCCCTGTACCCATCCAGACCTTAAATGCTACTCCGGGTCTATCTGATGGTTGCTATTTTCCAGAGGCACCCAGGAGTATTAAGCACCTGAAAGCTCATACATCTTGGAAAAAGTTAGTCATCCAGCTCACTCGTGCTTCCTTTCGCAATGAATTTTGACTCAATACCGGGGCAAAACTCTGAAGCGCTGAGAGCTCATTTTCCTGGGCAAGCTAAATCCACTACGCTGCCCCAGCCCCCTTCCTTCAATACCAAGGGGAAGCATATCAACAAAGAGACTGCATTTCTCAAACAGTAAGTTGCTTCTCAGTCCCCAGAGAAATGCAAAGTGCATTTTACACTTAACTTACTAGTTTTCTGATTATTTCACCTACAAATGAATAAAATGAACAGCAGGAGACAAAAAAAGCACATCTTTAAAGCTGGTAGGTAAATAGATAATTTAGATTTCTTTGCAAAAACCACTCTTCACAGTGAAAGCTCTACGATCACCTAATACCTTTTCAGTAATAAAAATACTACAGTATCAGGTGTTATGCATACACATTATGTTTAATTAAAAATGAACTCATCTAGGGTGGAAACTTCTTAAAAAATTCCCCAAAACTGCTAGTGAACTATCAGATTGTCATCACTGGTCTGATCCGAGGACACTCTGGAAATCCTGACATTCAGTTCTGGCATAAAGAGAAAAAGGAAAGGAGCGGGGGGAGAAAACTGCCACAGAAAACCCACACCACCAGAACTACTTTCAACTGAAGAATTTGGTCCAACGCTAAGTTTGTTTAAAAAAAAAAAAATCTATTTTCACTTGCATCTTCACAACTCCACTGATGTTCAGTAATGCTGAAGATGAAATCAATCACAGAACGTAATTCAGAGGTTGCATGCAGGGTGTATGCACTCCACCTTTCCCATCAGTGTTTTACTCAGAATTATAGTAACCATTTTTTCTTCCTCCCCCTGACTTTGATATCCCCAGGAATAACAAAAAAAAAAAAAAAAAAGAGAGACAGGTGAGAGGTGATCATGACTTCTACTCGTATAATCAAATTTCAAAAGATGGCACATCAGAAGACCTCTTCAACTCATTAAGAGGCTTCTAGTTTCCTGTAGGAAAGGTTTAAATCCTAGGGATGCGCAGCTCTGCCACTAGCACTTGTATTTCGAGCCTCACTGTTCTCATAATGTTTCTTATTACACTTATAGGGCATATTTGCATAACATGAAGCACTTACAACATCTATATGTGGGTTAGGAGAGAGGAATAGCATTGCACGTAGAACCACACGAGGTATGGATTCTTTAGGCTAGATGGTGTTGGTACAAACACTAAAATGAGTATCTACACTGATACACAGATACATGATGGACATGAAAAACCTTAGCGGATTGATGTATGTAGGGAAGTCTCACAATCTACCAAAATTAGAATCTCAGACTACCGGAGCGAAGCTAGGAGAGGTGATTGAAATTCTCTAGATGCTAGACATGTTATGGAAAGGGGGCACATTTACTCATCCTATTAAAATTCATGGAAATTGAAAGTATCCAAAAGCCCAGAGGAGGTGGGGTCAGAAAATCCATTTCACAGAAACAGGAAGCTTACTCTAAACTCACCTTCAAAGCACTTCCCCATCTCGGTCTTCCTGAGAGCTTTTTGATTTCTCTCCTTCTTAAGAGGTAATTATAGAACTTTTTCTCCTCCCTGACTAATGCTTACAAAAGGGGGCCATTCAACATTTGATGTAGATTATCATGGTTTGTTCTTACTTAGATATTTGTAGGAAATTATTCCTCCTTTGCTAACGCTAACTCGGTCTAGCAAACTTTATTTGCGTTTCCTTCCGTTTCCCATATTTTGTCCTCTGGCTGTTCCATTTGACATCATAACTGCTTTGGTATTAAATATTGCTGAACTCTGCACTTCAATTTTCCTCTTTTTCTTCACTTTCTCCTTTAATTTTAAATTTACTGTTGTCAGGAAACAATGACAGTCGGGCACAGGGATGATGGAGGAGGCACTCTAATCAGAGGCCACGCATTGCCTTTCTCTTGGGGATGAAGATTCTAACACGTACAAACCTGGAGGGAAACTCCAAATACTACTTAAAAGGATTTCTGAGGGCACCACAATCATCTGCGATTTCTAAGCTCATCACAGTCATCTCCGCAAGGAAGAATCTGATTTCATGAGTTTAAGTTTCCAGTGCTGGACACTCACCTCATGTAGTCTGATCCGGCCCTCACAGTCTCAAAAATGTTTTATTCCCTGTACAGAGCAACAGCATAAGGAAGGTAAGATGGGAAACTCTGCACTGTCCCATTTCACGATGGGGAAAGATAACCTCTTCCTAATACTGCTACACAAGTTCAACAATATTGCTGCATGCCCAGGCCCCCTCTCCACCGCCTAGGACCTCAGCAGCTAAAGAGGAGGAATTATACCATGGGGTTAAAGCAGCTCTAAAAGTGGCATATCCAAGTATACATTGCATCTGCCATCTCAGTCACAAGCAGGGAAGAAGCTAAATTAGCTGTTGAACACGTCAGACTGAGTTTTGTTTATATTTTCCACTAATTTTATATAAGTTTAATTTGAAACTTTTTAATAGTTCATAAGCACAGTGCTGTCAAGATTAAACAGAGGTTCATTTGACAACAGAAACGATGCTGTTTTATGGAAGTTAGTAACAGAGTCAGGGCCCCCGACTGGTTTTATTACCCGTAGCTCAGCTTTATTCTTAAAAGGAAAGCTGGGATAAGGTAGCATTATTTTAAAGTGCTTTTCTAGAATGAGATTAAAATTGCAGGACAGGAAAAATAACAGTATTGCAGCAACCAGTTTGCCAAATACATCCCAGAGATTTAGTATTCTGAATATGAGTAGCAGATTTGTGTGGTAATTAACCACATATTTTTTGCAAATGATACCAATGGCCGATGAGAGACCAATTTTTCCCCTAAATTCACCAAATAATTCATTTCTCTCTTTATTAAGAATATTCTTTCAGGAAGGTTTCAGTATTTTGACATTAAGGGACAGTATAAGAATGAAGACTTCCTGAAAAGTCCTCAGAAATGTGGGCTGCTTTGGAAACAGTCACAGCTGCCACTAAATCAACCAAATCATGCGTTACTTCAAGATTCTCCTACCAAGTTATTAAGGACAGGTTTTTTCCTCAGCCAAACCGAGCTGCTTTGTATAGCGTTCACTCAACCAGCTGCATAGCCCTCTTCCCTAGCTCCCCAAGAGAAATTCTTCAAGATCTCAACTGTAGTTCCTGAAAAAGCCTTTCTACATCTACCACGATGCAAATGCTAAGGGCTATAAAATATACATATAAGTGGCCTTGAAAGTGAGACTTTTTATATTCACCCAGTTTAAGCACAAGTTTTTGTTTCCATAGATTTTTTCTCTTCACTGCTGCTTTTTCCCTTCTTTCATTTCTCCCTCTTTCAGAAACCTATCTAGTACATAGATGAGGCTTTTCCAATAAATCAATAACCTAATAAAAAAATGACTGCTGTAGTACTCTGCATATTGAATTTCTGTTATATAGACAAAATCATTCACCTTATGCTCTATATTTGAAGTTCATTTTAATAGTTTTCAAAAGACCTCAATAAAAAGAATACCTGACAAAAACGTGAATCTGAAACAGCATGACGTTAAGTCTCGTCACCTGCTTTGCCAGTACTTTTCCCACGAGGTATAACAGCCAATTAATTTTCTCTGATTTCAGGAAGAACAATAGTATTTTTTTGCAGGACAACAATGAGGATAAGGATGTTAAGTAATACCTTCCATTCTGTTTACAATAATCAACAAATGGTTGTTGATGAAATCAATGAAATTAGCAGTGTGTCCATGAAAAGCATGAAAGAAAACCAAATCGTATTATTTTCTCTGAAGTTATTATAACATAAAAATCCCTGTAGCAACAACATGTAAAACACCACACACATTATAAGATTGTTCCCCCACTATATACACTGAGAAGAAAAATTTCTTTTAGAAACATTATGTCTAAAAGAAGATTTTTCAAAACTATTTTTCTACGTGTCTCACATTTACTCCGTGCAATCAGCAAAGGGAAGAGGTGGAGAAAGGAAAAACAGACCAGGAGAGAACTCTGTAGAATAACAACAGCCAAAAAATAATGCCATCGCTCAAGTTCTGACAACTGCCATCTGCCCAAATGGGCTTGGTTGATCCATAGACAGGGCTCCCAACAGCAATTGCAGCTTGAGTTGCTACGTTTCGAGCGCTATGCTCTGTTCCTTCCTCATAAACGCAACACTGAAGAGTTGTGAGAGACATACCATATCTAAGACCACAGTCAGTCAACTGACAGGAATACCTCATTACAGCACGTGCCCCCATCTTACAGCAGCGACTTACCCAGATATTTCCATCCTGGTGGTACGGCTTCCAGTTCCTCCCGGTATCGCTGTACAGCATCCGATACTGGGTGACCCAGTCAGAACTGCTGTATCTGCCTTGCGTTGCGATGGCACTGAGCTGCTTCCTGCTCCCAAAATCCACCTGGAGCCATTGGTAGTGGTCGCTGTCGGATGGAGACCAACCTCCTGCACCTGCCGAGTTGGAACAGAGGAGAGATTTCAGCCTTAGGCCCTCGCTTTGAAGTGAACGTGGTGCGAAGATGCCAATCACTGGAAGTCAGCCCAGCTGAGAGGAGTATAATATCAAAAAATTTGAATACATACAAGAGAAATAGGATGGCACATTAAAAAAAAAAAATGCATCTTTAGGACAGACTTCAAATGCATTAGCATTGTTGCCTTTACCATTTTATGATATAATGATTTAATGGGCTGGCCTGCTAACGAATCAATGGCTTTATAATACCTTAATTAGAGTTTATTGCTTTACGCCAAATTATGATTCTTCAAGGGTTGACCAGTTTGCCATGAAATCCTTTGTCAGAGTCAGCTGGCACAAATCAATAACAATCTTTGGATTTCATATGCCTTTTCAATAGCATTTCACATTAAAGAGATAACATAGATCAAAAGGGAGGAAACAACAGCAACCCCTCTACTTCCCTATGTTTCACTATAGTGCACAGCCTGAAAAAAGATTTACTAAGAGGACTGAAAAAGGACCAGGTATTGTAGGACTGGCTCCAGTTTTGATCCTGTTGTGTGTGCAAGTTGTCACAGAGTACATTGCAAAGTGCCTCACAAAAGTGTTACTGCTCTTTATGGGAACAGGAATTAACTTGAAAGTAATACTATTGACAATATTCTCAAACACTAGACTACATTGAACTGTTCTTAATAAACAAGGACAATGATGCATAGATAAATGCAGTGTTAAGATATTAATGCAATTTCTTATTTTACTGAAATAAAAAAAATATCCAGGGGAAAATTGTAGCTAGGTACCACATAGGACTATAAAAATTCTAAGATGCTTGTTATAATGACATATACATCATTATCACGTATTTACCATAATGACTTACTTTAGGAAATAGACACAATTTAAAAAAAATTCCCTCAATACTAAAAAAAACACTGGAGAACCATTCTCTTTATATCAATATAGGTCATTAAGACACAGGAAACAAAAACTTTATAAAGACTTATCGTGACTACAAGGATTTTTTGCTTTTCTTCTGTGTTGGACTCAAAGAGATGGTCAGGCACGCTGTGAATTTATGAAGACTATGCAGTCCAGCTTTCATTGCTTTCTATTTCACTCAGACTTAAACTGACGTCACAAACCTAGCGTGATTTCCAAACCATAAACTCTTCGCTATGCTGTGTCTTATGTACTCGCAGCATTAGGCGGCAGCATTGCCTCAGTCTTAGAACATTCTAAAACTCATTCATCTGCTACAGGTGATAGGAAATTTAAATGTTATATCAATGGGATCATTTGCTGTCATAGATGGTTGCCTTTCATTGGAAATAATGTGTAGCATTCACCTTACAACATCTATTCTGGTAAAATTTTTAAGATGTACAATAGGCATACTTGTCCCTGCACTATGGGTAATTATATCCAGCAATATAATGAGGGTTACTTAAGAGTATGGAATAACATTAAAAAACCCTTACTAAAAGGACTTGCAGGGAAAAGTATTCCCACACACTCACAAATTCAAACAATCTATTTTTTCAAAGAACGGTAGTGGGTCATTTAAAAATAGAAAATATAGAAAACAACTCCTTATGTCTACTGTGCCAGGAGACTGGAGAAATTATCTCCACATACTTGTGGTACCAGCAGAGAAACCCCTTTTTCGGCTCATCCTAAAACTTCCTTCCAATTAGCCTATCTTAGACTGATGGCACACACATGATGAGGTCCTACCCCTGTAAAGGAGCCACTTCTGTAAAAGAGCCCTTTGGTGGGTCCAGCAAAAGTAAGACCCAATAATGTCCGCATTCAAGAGTTAGGAATTACAAAACTGACTACATTGATCAATGCAATTGCTCTAAAAGGATAATCTACTAGAACCATAACAAAATATTTCTTGCGTTTCATATACTTTTTTATATATGTGGTAAACAGCAGATTTTGCTATATGCATTTATGGGAAAAAAGCATAGTTATAATTAAACTGCAGTAACATGGCACGTTTCTTCTTTTAGTTCATTTATGCTACTGATGTCGAAATTTGGCCTCCTATAACTGACAGACATACTCGCGCTTTGTAAATTGTGGCTAGGTTTTGGAAAGCATTCACCTACAAATCCACTGAAAAGTTTGGAAAAACAGGAACTAAGATTAATATTCCTATTTGTTCTCAATCTGAGACGAGATGGTAAACATCCTGCATACCGTGCCTGACAAAAGCTGGAGGTGTGTGACACAGTCGTCACACCTAAGATATCAAAGGGAAGCACGCGTGCAAGACAGATTGCCTTATGACCAATTACATTCATTTCTAATAAGTGAGAGATAAGACTTTTAGTCGATGTTGCAAAGAGCAGCAAAAGACAATATCCCGTTGGTTTCTTGACCTAATTCTCTATCTCAGTTTCACATTTGCCTTTTCCAAATAATAAATAATTGTATAAAAGTTGTCTCAGCAGAAAAGCAAAGTGAAAGTCAGAAGAGAGAAGGACGAACACATTCAGTTATAGCTAAATGGGCTTAGTAGACCAACACGCGACGGGAACGGAGATCAGCCTGAAAAGGAGGGCAGATGTCACACATTCGCCAGAAGCACGCTGCGGACGCCATGGAAAGTTTCCTCTTACTGTTTGAATCATCAAGCTGTGTAATTTGGGGGACCTGATTACTTTGTTCATTGGGTTTGTAAAACATGTAACCTCTATCGATTCAAGGATTAACAAAGATCCTCCTTCTTTTATCAGGTATGCACTCTGGAATAAGTCATAAGAAAGTTGGATTATATAAAACTTTCACCCCGTGAGATCCCTTGCAGAAGCCCAGAATTCATTACAGGATTTTAAGCACGTTCATGCCCCTGTTCAGCAAACTAGCAAAACATGTGAATCACGCTAAGCAGGTACCAAAATCTCACACCCTCAGAAACGTGCACGTGCTTACAGCTCAGCGTATCATTAAATACTTTGCTGAACGAGGATAGTGTCTTCATTGGAATGACTTCATATCGGAAAGGCAGTAGAAGAGTTGCTGACAAACTAAAATATTTAGCATAGTCTCCCTTCCTAAAGGAGTGGCAAATTTGGAAATCAAAATTTATTTTCTCTCTATGACAATATGTTGGAAATATGCTTACTTTTATAGCCTATGTATTATGGCAGAATAATGAATTACTTTAAGAAATAAGCAAAATGGCCAACATTTTAGTACTTTGCAGTGAGTATTGCTTTCTACTGAAGAAGCTGCAATGGTAAATTAAACTTGCTGAATAAATGCCATTCACAGTGTTATTCTTCACACCTTGGTGGAAATTATTTATTTTTAATGCTTACTAGTTATGTTCTTCATCTTATGATATGCATTCTTCCTATTTTTTTATTGTGGCAGAAAAAAAGATACTGGATGTATGTTTTATGATATGCTATTCAGTTTTACTTCATGTACTTCCTTTAATGCAAAAGGCCACAAAATATATCCTATGCTATGAAACCAATCCGAGTTAAAAACGATTAGAAAGACATCAGAACTACAAAGAAATTAAAAGAGATTAGACATAGGCATATGATGCATAGCTCACTTTCATTTAAGAGGTAATGAGCATATTTTGGTAGCAAAGCTGCCATAAGTAAAATTGCAGAGAGTACTTCCTTCCTATTTATTTTTATTCTAGTCTAAATATTCTATTCTAAAAATTCTATTTTTATTCTATTCTAAAATTGGATGTGATTAAACACATTCACCCACTCAATGGCTAAAAGAATTAGCTCAATGACATTAACCAAGACAGTCACTGAATACTTTTATTTACACTATACCACAAAGAAGGGTAACCAATTTCA